CACTCCCTGCTGTACTCCGCTCTTGACAACATAACGGCTCATTCATGATAAAAAAGATTCCTAATACTTTACTTGTAGTTCAAAGATATGCTGTGTATCATACAAGTTTCTCCATTTAGAAAGTATGGCTGAACATGAAAGAAAAAAGTGCGACACCATACCATGACCCGCTCGGTGCTGACAGCGGTGGCTGTGCTGTGGCCGGTAATTGGACCGACAGTAATGGGAACAGTCGCTCTGCCTCTGTGGGCCCTAGAGATGGGCCACAACGCTGCAGTCAGATGGAAACCATGTAACGGCAATTTTCATCATCTTCCTTTTTCTTCCGTCGTTTGAACACTGACATGAGCATTTAGGAGTGAAGTCAATTTCGTGACCTCTTGGCCCCCAGAGTCTGGTCAGGTGCCAACGTGTGACCTCAGAGAATACGCCTCATTCCAGTCGTCATTCTTTAGGAACTCTTGATTTTGCAGATACTTGTATTAACTCGACAGCGGCCGTTTTGCTGCTGCTGGCTCGCTGCCTTGCGGGGAGTTTAGTTTTGAAGTCAGCATCCATCTTGGCAAAGACCACACATATGCAGCACACACAAGGGTACAGTAGATGGGAGGTAGCCTACACAGACGCCTTGTGCCGGTGGCTGAAAATACATTCTTGAACAGCAAATGTGAATGCTAATGCTGAGGCAGATCCACACAATGTCACCACAGCAGCTCAGACCCACCCAGGACAGACATGTACACACATCCCTGGCCAGCGTGAACACACATACAGACCAACAGCCAAAGGCCCCGAGATTACAGACGCTGCATGGATACACACATGATCAACAAGCCACAACCTCCTGCACACATATACACACCCCGGGGAAAAGAGAGGCACGCATTCCTCCACACTGCCTCTCCATCACACTACTGCTCCTGATATACACACCTACGCTCAGACAAGCTGTGCAAGGTCTCTATAAGCACTTATTTCCCAATGTCACTGCCAGCACTCCCTTTCTCTCAGTGACAAGCTACAAATCCCTGACACTACCACTGATGATAGCTTTACAGTAGAGCCTCAAGGGGACTCTGCCAGTCAGCACACACAAACAACACACATGCCTTTTCCTTTCCCTGCCTCTCTCTTTTTTCTGTCTCGTTCTGTCTCCCGGGAGCCCCAGGGGCCTCTGGGATACACAGCTCCCAACACAGAATGCCTAGGGTTTGTTTGAGTTAAACATCGGGCTACGAGCAATCAAAGTGACGAGGCTACTAATGAAACAGCAATTATGCCTGTCCATTCATGCACAGATCCACGCTTAAACTGTGGCAAAACAAGAATGAGTGCATACACGGAGGTGGTGTCAGACCTTTTGGTTCTGACTGTATGCATAATTGTTTCCTATGATAACACACACACACACACACTGTAGACTGCAACTCCAGCCCAAAGCGTAGAGCAGCGACGTGGCATGATTTATATAGCAATCACACTTGTACTGTCATCTGGTACAGTCATCATTACCATTTTTTCCCCTGCACCGTCTTGATTTATTAAGACAGTCGCCATGATGCCATTTTGCCCCATCCTTTATTTCTCTCTTTGATGAAGCTTTAATGACCCACTCTCTGCACTCGCAGCACTCACCAGGCCTGTGGATGTTTGTTTTGGTGTTAACACTTCACTGCTGTGACCACATCCTCCATTACTCTATTATTTCTCATTACAATATTTATTACTTTTCTTTTCCATTTTGGATAATTTAGCAGAACTAATAATGCTCTTCATGGGGAAAGTTGTGGGCGTGTGAGTGTGTGTGCGTGCGCTTGTGCAATAATTCCAGATCACAAGTGCCTCGGATTTATTGGCATATACCAATTTGGCTTTAATGAGACCAGACACCTCCAGGTATGTGCTGCTTCATCCACTGCTCAGCTCATGGTTCTACCTCCATCTGTCTGGCCTTATTACGGTTTGGTAAACC